TTGTATCCAGAAGATATTAAACATAACAAATATGTGTTTCAGAGAGCTATTGGAATTTGCAAGAGAAAATGATGACGTTGCTCAGAGAATTTCTGAGAGGTAAGCTCTTGTTACTGCTATACTTTCTTTTAATTATAGGAATTGCTTGGTACAAACCAGATTTGATCATGAAGTCCGTAAGACTTTCCCAAGATTGTATTTTGCAATATGTTTAAACTCTGAAAAATGTCTATTTGCATTACATGCAAATTTAGAAATAATTGCTAGGATGTGTTCATTTTGCAGGAGGAAGACCTTTAAATGTCATTCAGTTCTAATATCATTAATTTGATTATACATCATTTAAAGTTTATCTCCACAATTGGGGTTTGTTCTGTTTTCTTTACAGCAGCTAGCACTTCAAGTCTTACATATCTGTTTATTTCATATGTATAAACCTGGCTTTGATTTTTAAATAAGTGTTTAATTCCTAGCATAGGATGCTGAGACTTCCTGTTTAAAATCATGGTTTTATCTCATAAAATTACAGTTCCCTGGAGAGACATAATGATTGCTAAGCTTTTTTTCCTTTTATAGCATAGATGTGTATTTAAGCTTTTGAATTAGAAAAGCAATTGACTGTATTGACATTTGAATTAGAATTCAAAATTGACTTTGGAATTAGAAAAGCAGTTGACTTCTTTGCTTGATTGTTTGGCCTCTAGGGGTCGCCAGTTCATCATGGACCACTTGCAAATGGAGGATATCACTTGTTATTGGGAACAACTTCTAACTGCGTATTCTAAAGCCTTGACTTATAAAGTGAAACGGAAGAGCAACTATAGTGAGATACCATCCAGACCTTTGAAAACAGAGCTGTAAAAAGCCACACTTCAAGTCAGGGCTTGTGGACATTTTGAAATCAGAAAAGTAGGATTGTTCCTCCAACTAATGGAAGTCCTCTCTGTTTGTTGATAAACTAAAGAGAAAAGCATATTGTTGCTACTTACTATACTGAGTGATTATGGCTGAGTGTGAATTCTATTTTATATTGTGGTCAGTAAAATTTTGATAAGTACTCTGTTAAGAAGGGATGGAAATTTCACTGAGTCCTAGCATTTTTTAAAATGTCTTGACAATTGTTCTGTCATGTCTACTTAACTTGCCACAATGTCATATTGACCCTACTGTGTGGGTTATAATTCCTAAGTGAATCATCTCTTGAACTGTTGTGCAACATTGAATTCCATATTGACTAACATTCCAATACAGCCTTGCTGGCTGAGATCAAAGATACAGTGGTACCTCTACTTACGAACTTAATCCGTTCCGTGACTCTGATCGCAAGTCGAGTTGGTCGCAAGTCGAGGTAAATTTTCCCATAAAGTTCAATGTAATTACCGTTAATCTGTTCCGGCGTGCGCAGACCACGCGTCAGGGGCGTAAAAACGGCCGCGGACCACACAGCAGGGCGGAAAAATGGCTGCGGACCACGTGGAACAGGCAGAAAAATGGCCGCGGACCACGTGGAACGGGCGGAAAATGGCCGCGGACCACGTGGAACGGGCGGAAAATGGCCGCAGACCACATGGCACGGGCGTAAAAATGGCCGTGGACCACGTGGAACGGGCGGAAAATGGCCGCGGACCACGTGGAACGGGCGTAAAAATGGCCGTGGACC